ATCTAAAATCGCGATCCCTGAAGTCGTTTAGAGTAATCGGTGAAAATCATTACCATTATCTTGATCAAAAGTGAATAATATAATATATGATTTTTATTTTTAAAAAAATATATGAAAGGAAAGTTAAGAATATAAATGAAGCATTAAAATATTTACATATTTCCTAAATGAAATAAAATATTAATTATGAACATATTTCATGGCCTACTTGAATACTTTTATCCACACTGGTTTGTACCTACCAAAAAGAATTTTATATCGAAAATCATTATTGAAAATATGAAAATATTTGTATAGATGATGTGTACTGTTACATAAAAACATTGAGATTGTTGATAGAGATTACTGTAACAGTGAAAATACTAATTGATTGGGTGTTTTAAATGAATTTAACTAGGCAATTAATAATTAATAAAGTTCCTTTTTTTAAATTCCAATCATTTGTAATATAAAATTAAGTTAAATAAATTAATGAATAAAGTGATTTAAGTTGTTAATTTATTTAATTTCAAAGGTATTTGTTTTGGTTTCTTTTCCTTCCATGTTTATTCATATTTGAAATTCAGTATTCATGCATTCATTATTATTTTCCAGTTACTTGTTGTAATTTTTTTTTTGGTTCTGTTTTATTTGGGGGAGGTTCTTTTATCATTTTTTTTTTGTTCATGTAATAGAACAAATTATACTCATTGATATTAGAGAGCAATATGTATCCATTAGAATGAAATTATTAGAATCCAGGTCAATGAAATAAAAAAGTTACATAAAAATGAATAAAATGTGCATAATTGCATATGCAACCACTTGTAAAGTGGGTATTATGAGAATATGGTGAGAATATTATTTACACATCAGCTAGCTGTGTTGTTATGTACTGGGATAGAGAGGCACCCCTGTGTGTGTACATGCAATATATACACAGCTGTTGACACTTGGTCAAGTTGACAATAAACTTCTTTTTGATCAAACACCTGTTCTCAGCTAGTCTGACCAACCCCCCTCTGGCAGGGCATGTGTATATATACACTGAACCTTGACTATGCTCAATTGTTCTTGACTTTCATTATCAAATTGTAAAATAAATGATTTTTTAATATAATCTTTTTTTTAAAATAATGTTGATATGAAATGGTAATATGCTTTAAATACAAATTTTCATTTTAAGGACATTAGCACACACATAAGGAAAATAAGGAAAATATGAATTTGATAATTTTGATACTAATATTAATAATGATAAATTAATAAAGACCTTTTAAACTAGTAATACCTGGAAAATATTCATAGTTTCCTTATGTTCCCAGCTCTAGCCACGTGGAGGCCTCCTTAATTGTAGAGCCATGATTTGAATTTTGAAACAGCTAGAATAATATGAAAGTCAAAGGACCGAAAGATGACCGAAAGATTAAAAGAAAATTAAAAAAAATTAAAAAAGACTTATTTTAATAAAGATACTTTATCATTATTCCTAGTCAATCTTTTGTTCATGTATAAACATATTACAGCCAAATGAAAGAAATTGACATAAAATTAAATAACATTATAAAAAATTTCATAGAAAGGAATTTATAATTTAATTAGCAACATTAAAAAAAAAATATGTTCCTAACCTAACCTATTCTAATCTAACACAACACCAAACAGTATTCACTGGTCTGCACCCGTCTGGCCGGGGAGGAATACTGCCTGATACTAACCCTACTCTAGAAAAAATAAAAAATATACAATTTTAAAAACATTTTTGGGTTTTAATGGTTTAAGACTGGTTTAAAAGTGTTTCTGCAAGTGGGAGAAAAAGATATATATTCATCTTCTCTGTCAGATATAGTGTTAGGAATCCAAAACATTATTGAAAAACTGTTAAGAAATGATTTGGTTCAGAAAATATTTATTGGAAGTCTGTTTAGGCAAATGATTTGTGGAACCATGGATCCATGAAAGTACAATTCATAAATAACACACTACGAAGGAAATATGGGAATTCTCAGAATGTGATATTTTGGAGAGATGTAGGGGTTAAAAATATTTGGCGTGAAGATGAAATTAGTTTGAACAGAGAGGCAATGGAAATTTTTAGTCGACAGATTCAACTGGCAATGAAATGTAAAATTACATAAAATACCTATGCTTGGAGATGATAAAATATGTTGGGGGTGGGGTGGGGGCATTTAAAATTTGTACAGTCATGGGTTAATGTATAAACTAAACGAACTAAAACTGATCTTGGACCCTCCACGTAGAAAACGCCGATCTAACATTTATATCTCTTTGTTTTTACAAATAAGATATGTTTTACATGCATAGATCTAGAGAGAGAGGTACGGACCACCCCTCTGAACCCTCAGCAGTTGGCAGTAAGCAGTTGGCTGTCGTATATGGCATTCCATAAGAAGGTTACTTTGAAATAAAATATCTATATATTTGAAAATTGATATATTCTTTTAATTTACTATTTCTTTCCAGGTTTCAGTATTTTCATATTTTGACATTGATTTACTTTTTGTTCTCTTTTAACATATAAGTAATTATTATTTTCATTTTTAAAATTTAATTATTATTATTATTGCTTTGAACCTTTGAATTTCATATTTTTATATTTCTAAATTCATAATTTGTCTAAAATCTCAAAAATAAATTCAGTATTTTCATATTTTGAAATTTATTTATTTTTTTGTTCTCTTTGAAACATATAAGTAATTATTAATTAATTATCATTACTATTTTTAAGGTCTTCCGTCTTCAGCGGAAGACCTTATTGTTTTTCTTAGGTTTCTTTTCCACTATTTTTATTATTATTGTTTTTTTTCTTACCGATTTTGTACGCACGATTTATCGAGAACGGCTCGATCGATTTTCATGAAACTTTCAGGTCTGATAGAACATCAAAAAATCTAGATATATATTTTTTTATTTTGATGACGTCACTTCCGGTTCGGAGTTTTCCGCGATTTAGTGATTTTTAGAGGGTCACTTTGTCCGGCAGTTTTCTCAAAAAGCACTTAACACAGAAGTTTGAAATTTTCAGTGATGCTTAGAGCAACCTTTGGAGAAGTGCACTAAGTATATCACAACTACCGGAAGTACGAAGCGCCGACGCTCGCTATGGCCCGAAAATAGTCCTTTCAAGAATTTCAAAATCTTAAGCACTTTTTCAACGATAACTTTTTACCTAGAAATATTTTGTTAAAGCATGTAGAACAAAAAAGGTGTAGAATTTCAAGGTCTTTCAAATGACATCTCGAAAAAAGGGCTGGCCCCTTAAATCAGGGGCCTAGAGGGGCCGAAAGTTTTTCCTTTATATCTCAAAAAGTATTGAGAATTTGTGATACGTCTAAGAAGCAAAATTGTTCAAAACGTATTAATCTATTGAAGTCGTCAAAATACGTCCGGCGTCGTCACTTCCGGTCAAACCGGAAGTAGTCGGAAAACGCGTATATTTGTCGTTCTTGACAAGTTTTCTGGTAACATATGTCTCTGGGAGCATTAAAATTAATTTTCCGTCCGTCGTCGTTACTTCCGGTCAAACCGGAAGTAACAGAAAATGGCTTATTTTTGCAATAATTAACATGGAGTTTGAGGAATCAAAGCATTTTTGGGTGTTATTTCTCATTTCTGTTAAAAATGAAAGCCACTTCCGGTCAAACATGACGGAAGACCTACTCGTTGCTTTGCAACGAGCTTTGCTCTAGTTTATTATTATTTTTGCTTTGAAGCTTTTGGATATAATCATATCTCTAAATTATGAATAAAAAGCAAATTAGCAAGATAAGACTGTCATCACATAATTTAGCTATTGAAAGTGGACGCCATAGATTATCTTGCGCGAAAACCGAATATGTGAAGTTTGTAGTTCTGAAATTGAAGATGAATTCCATTTTGTTTTAAAGTGTCCACGATACAAGGATTTACGAGTAAAATATATTAAAAAAATTCTACTGGGAAAAACCATCTATGTTTAAATTCATACAGTTGTTATGTGTACATAATGTTAAGGACCTTTGTAATTTGGGAAAGTTTTTGTACCATGCTTTTAACTTACGTAATGAATGTCATACTGCCTTATAAACAAATTTAAAAAAAATGGTTTGTACATTCTCCATCATCATGATACTGATTGTATAATTATTATGCTGACTGTTAAAAAAAATACCTGCGCTATGCTTTACTGTTTACATGTTATAAATTTATATTGTATACAATAAGATGTATGTCTTACGTAATAAAGTGAATTGAATTGAATTTCTCTAAAATCTCAAAAATAAAAAAAAAATCTTAAATTATCTTAATGGCTAACGTTCTTAATTAAAAAAAAATATTTATTACATAATATTTGATATATATCTTGCATAACAAACATATTAAAATTAAAATGAATAATTTTAACTTTATCTATACGATGATAAACAGCAGCTCGCTTCGAAATTAGATCGGGCGTGGTGTACGGTAAACCAGTAATGGCGCCCGATTTCTGAGGTAAAATTGGCTATAAAAATTTACGGATATCGATATCATTCATTTAAACATCACCTTAGGATTTTATGTACCCCATTTCATTCAATTTTATGGGGCTTCTACCACTTTATTGGGGCTTCTACCCTTCTGTATGGGTATTCTCCAAAAAACGGGGGGCTTCTGGAATTTCCAGTCACCCCTAAATATTTGATTTGTACGGATGCATTTCTTTTGAAATGATTTAATAAGCCTACTTTATTTTAGTGAAATTATCATAAAGGTTTAAATTACTTTTCATAATGACACATTTTGAATTAGCAAAATAAAATTCTCAATTTTTTTTTTGGCTCATATTGCTTAAAAGCTCACCTTCCATTATTACTTTAGTATTGTGTAGGATGTGATTTCAAATGTCACGAATCGTTGTACTTTCTGTCAAGAGATTTTCTTGTAGGTGCATATTGGAAAATTTTGGACAGTTTATCTACATTGATCTATTTGCCTTTTGCAATACCTGTCCGAAATCTACGAAGAACGACTTACTTTGTTACATGCCGCGCCGCCATTTTTGCACAAACAACATTCGTCTTTTGATTTCTATTACTTCCACGTTCATCCATTATGTATCCTAACTGGGGTAATGTCCAAGGAGGATATGGACTTTATGGACAGATGGATCCAAACTACCAGCAGCAGTTGTTACAATGGCAGCAGATGAATCAAGTAGGAGGACAACAATGGGGGATGTATGGTCAGTCCGCTCAGCCGCCACTGCCAGCCGGGGGTGACACCAAGCCACCGCCACCCGAGCCCCCAGCCGACGAGAAACCACCACTCCCTCCCGACCCACCACCTGATGGGGGAGAAACTAAGGTGGGTACCTAGCTTTACCGTAATTAGAGTTTGTGGTTAAAAGAAAGCAATCGTTTAGAGGGGTCAGCCAGGTCCAGTCTGAGTCCATAGACTATTTCTACCTACGTAGTTATGAATGTATTTAAACTTACTTAAAGTAGCTATTTTTACTAGCTGCAGAACTGTAGCATTATGGTTTTATGTTCTAGTCTTGACCATAATTAATGCTACAGATTCCGTAATGCAAAAAATGTGCAATTTACGGTGCAAGATTTTTTGCGCACTGTTTTGGAGAATTTCTCCGTTTTCCAACATTGGTAAATCATATATCTTTCCCTCCATAATTCTAGACACATTTTTTAATAATTTAATTTTAGAGTTAACACGTCATTTGATTGGTTAAGTGGTTTTATCCATTTTGTATAACATAACTTGCCGATGTCACAATGAGTTATGTCAAAAACGTATTACTCCGCTTGACGTTAACTTTTAAAATATGTGATATTTGAAGCTAAGGAAAAAATGAAAAAATTTTCTCATTGTCTACATTGAAATTAAATTATAAGGAATGAAGCTTATTTCAACTTATATAATACGATATAACATAAATTGGGGCAGTTTACGCTTTTTTATAAACCACTTTGCAGTTTATAAAGCATAGACTGTCTCAAGTTATGTTATATCGTATAACAAAAGTTGAAATAAGTTTCATTCCTTAAATAAATCTATATATTATACACCTCGCAATACTATACAGTTGTCTCTTCAAGCGATAAACTGGCTTGAATTAGAATTTTTTGCAATTCCTCGGACAGTTTAAATAAAGCCAGTTTATAGACTGTAAAGGTGAACATTAAGGGTCGAGAGGAGGATAAGTTATACAATTTCTTTTACAAATGTGTCCGGAATTAGGGGCTGATAGGTGGATGATTTACTAAATTGGAATGTAAAGAAATTCTCCCAAACAGTACGCAAAAAATCTTGCGCTGTAAATTGCACATTTTTTGCATTACGGGATTTGTAGCATTATGGTCAAAGACAAATATATAAAACCATAACACTTCAGTTCTGCAGCTACTATTTTTACCTACTTTTTGTATTATCTGCATTTTGTGGCCAAAACACCAAATGGCGCAACATGGTGAGTACCATATATTTTGATACAGTCACAATATTTATGATGAATACGATGAAATGTTGGCCAAAAAATGATTACTTCCTAAATCATCAATTTTACATTAGTTCAGGGTTCGACACTAACTTTTTTACCTTGGTGGACCGCAGGTCCACTTGTCAAAAATTATTGGTGGACCTTCTCAAATCTAGTGGACCTTCATAAATGTTTGAATTAATGAATTAATCATTACATAAGGCTTGAAACTAACTATTCCAGTCAGACTTATAAAGGATAAGTTTAACCATTCAACAGAATCAAATCCATTAGTCAGGATTTTTGCAGCAATATTGTAAAACTTAAAAAAAAAAAAAAAAAAAGGATAAATCTACAAATCCAAAAATATTTTGTATTATTAACTACAATGGTAAAAACCTGCATTTATTTTTCTTCCAGATGTATATGAAATTTAAAATTCTAATTATTAATTACATAAAAGTTGTTCAGTAAAACAAGTTAATTTTTTATATATCTATGGATAAAACATTTTTATAGCAATGCAGAACTGATATAAGTACATGTATATGTATTTATTATTTTTTTTTTTCAATTTATTATTTATTCAGATAAACAGTGATCCTTTGTTTCTTTTGTGTGATATAATGTATATCAAGAAAAAAAACAGAAACTGCAGATTCCGTGTTTGTAAAATGTATGTAAATCACGGCTGTTTGAAAATCCATGAACAAAAATAAACAATGCATAAATTAATGCAGCTGTCAATCAATTCTAATTATCTCCAAACCTGGTCAACAGTGTGCGTTCAGGTGTGAAGCGATTTCCTGTTACCAAGTGTAATTTTCACACCTTTCTGTGCATTACGTAAACAGAGGAGAGACTGGCTAATTTGGCACGATTTTTACATGCTTCTTTTTCAAGGTCCGTGTTGAATGTTCTAACATCTCAATTTTATTGGAGTCATCAATTTTACATGTAAAATATATCTACTTGCTAGGTTTGTTTGATTACCTAAAACACATTTTATATTTATTTTCTGTAAAATACAGGTACTTGTTTGGAGGATTTAATATTTTGAGTTACGAATGTCAATTTAAAGAAGAAAAAAAACCCCGGAATTTTGCTGTTTTTTTGTTTTTTTTAAGTTTTTAAATTTTAAGTGGACCGACGGTCCACCTAGTCCAGAACATTTGGTGGACCTTCCAATTTTTTGGTGGACTCGGGCCGCCGGTCCACCGTTAGTGTCGAACCCTGTAGTTTCTATGCAAAATTGTTAATTCACGAAGTAAGCATTATTTGGTCAAACTTTTGTCATATCCATCATCAGTTATCACCACTGTATCAATAAATTTGGTACTCGCCATATTGGGCTGTTCGGCTGTTTGGCCACAAAATGCAAGTAAAAAGCAGAAAATAGGTAAAAATAGCTACTTTGGGTAGGATTAAATACAAACGTAATTATTAATAGCTACGTAGGTAGAAATAGTCTTTGGACTGGACTAGGGCTGTGTATTGAGCCAAAAATTTCGATACGATACGATACAATATTTTTTAAAGCGATATGCGATATATTGGATTCTAAAACAAGTCCATCAGAAAAGGCTTCTAAATCATTTTAATGCATACATTTCATAACAATTAAGTGTTTTATTACCCATTTTAAAGTTCTTGTCTCATTGTCTTTAAAAGTAACACTTCAATTAAAACTTTTGATGACAGTAAAATCAACATGTTAAAAAAAATTTCTCTTTCTATTTTGCAATAATTATAAAAACTGTTTTATTTCCTAAGAAATTATATAATTATTGAAGGTTTTAATTCAAAAAAGTAAAATATTTATCTTTGGTGATTGAAATTCCCATCTTTTAAACAGAATTAGAAGAAAAAATGTCTGTCCGATACGTATTGGAAGTTACTTTTCGATACAATATTTTTCTTGAATATCGATACGTATCGATATATTGGTACAGCCCTAGACTGGACCTATCAGCTGTTTAAAATTTTAACTGCCATGCTTTTACATTAGCTAAAGAGAAAATCCAGACAAACAAACCAGAGAGCATACAGATCCAAGTATTGATAAAACCTTTGATTTATGTCAGTGCTTTTTGTTGCTTTTTTCAGGTGTTATTTCTAGTATTTTTCCTGTGCTTGAAGAATGGTGTATGTAAAATTACCATATATTTTACTACAATTCCTGATACTTTATCTTTAGAGTACTCTATTTTAGAAAGACTTCACCATATACATAGGAACACAATTTTTAGCTCTACTGGTCAGAGACCAGAAGAGCTTATGCGATAGTAATGCGTCCGTCGTCCGTCCGTCTGTCTGTCTGTCTGTCTGTAAACAATTTTTCAAAATGCTACTCCTCCTACAGTTTTGGTCCGATTTCAATATAACCTGGCACACAAGTAGACTACACCAAGATACATAATTTTGTGCATTGGTTTATGATTTCGAAGAATGGTGTTGCCGTGGTTACTAAAAATAGAAATTTCTGTGAAATTCTTTCGAAATGCTACTCCTCCTACAGTTTTGGTCCGATTTCAATGTAACTTGGCACACAAGTAGACTACACTAAGACACATAATTCTGTGCATCGGTTTTTGATTTCGATGAATGGTGTTGCCGTGGTTACTAAAAATAGAATTTTCTGTGAAATTCCTTTAAAACACTACTCCTTCTACAGTTTTGGTCTGATTTCAATTTAACTTGGCACACAAGTAGACTACACTAAGATACATTAAATAGTGCATCGGTTTTTGATTTTGATGAATGATGTTGCCATTAGTACTAAAAATAGAAATGTCCGTGAAATTCCTTTAAAACCTCACTCCATCTACAGTTTTGGTCTGATTGCAATGGCTTCTTTTCTTATCCTTTGTTATAAGTACAAACCAGTAGAGCTACAGTCTCGACAGAGACTTCTGGTTTAAAGCTTACATTCGTCAATCAAAGGCCATTAAGTGCCTGCTAGTAACCATTGAAAGATAAATAAAATATTGTTGATGAAATAACATCCTTTCGGAAGTATGGAGAAATGGATATAATACATCAAAACATAAATAAATTATGCAACAAGAAGCATTGCAATAATTGAAGGTTTTTACAATGCATAAATGCACAAATTTATTCAACCTGAGAGACACAGTTCTGTGGCTACATGCACTTTAGTGCATAACTGTTTTGGGCAGTTGATAGGTAATTAAATTATCAATAATAGGAGTTACATGTAAGTGTATGAATAATTATCAGATATATTTCAAAAGTGAAGGAGAGCATAAACTACAAGAAATGATACCTAAAGTGAGCAACATAAAAAGTGATGCCAGATGGCATAAACTGAAGGTCTTGACATCTCTTGGACCTGTAGCTCTCTGTCTGAATTTTATCAAGCAGAGAGCTACAGTTTTGCAAGAAGAAATTTCTAGTTTCAAAATTGGGAAAATAATGTTTTTTGGGCATAAGGAATGGTACCATTAATTATTAATACCAGTTACACAGAGTAAAACTCTAATAACTCTTATAACGAAGTCACTAGGACCTACAAAATTACTTGGCTATATCCATAATTCATTTTATTTCATACGTGTGGATGATACTACCCGTTGGATAAACCGATGCTTTATCCACGGGTAGATGCTTTATCAATAGCACTTGCAGTTTTGACACGATCCTTCGCTTCAAGATTTATCTTTTTTCCTTAATGCTTGAAGTCCTGTGAGGGTCTATAGGAGATAATTGATTATGCAAGGTGAAGCCCTAATTAAGAGTTATTAAGTACTATCCTTTAAGAATCAAAGGACGAATGAATTGTTTGATTAAAGTTGAAGTTAATGATAATATGTTTGGATTTTCTGATGATCTTTAACTGTGTTGCAAAATTTTTACTGTGTCACATGCATAAAATGTGAATTGTTACTGTGTCGGAGAAAATTTTACTGTTTCGGGGCCAACATAGTAAAACAGTTGATAGAGAACCCTACAGGATGTGAAATTTGTCTATTTCGGCAAGAAAATATGTAATCTGGAATTTAATCTTTTCACCAAATCAAGTTATTTTCCTTTTTATCAGGAAAAAGAAATGAAGCCCATGTCTGATGCAGAAAAGCAGAAACTGACTCAGCTGCAGCAACAAGCAGCACAATGGCAACAGCAACAAACATGGACACAGCAGCAACACAGAGCGGGACAGGGATGGGGTCAACAACAGGGGGGTATGCAGCAGCATGGTGGCATGCAACAACATGGTGGCATGTATCAACATGGTGGTATGCAGCAACATGGAGGTATGCAACATGGTGGCATGCAGCAGCAGCAGGGAAACATGCAACAGCAAGGTGGCATGCAGCAGCAAGGAGGCATGCAGCAGCAAGGAGGCATGCAACAGCAAGGTGGAATGCAGCAACAGGGAAACATGCAACAACAAGGTGGCATGCAGCAACAAGGAGGCATGCAGCAACAAATGTCCGGAGGTTCAGGTTGGTTTCACAAAATGTATGCTTATATATGTATTTAGTGATTAATCTAAAGCATACCGTAATTTTCGGATAATAGGTCGATACTTTTTTTCTCAGAACCGCTGGGGTCGCCCAATATACGAATTCGACCTTTCTAAGGCTCAAGTTTACGAAAAATGCCCCAAAATCAATAAAATTTACGTCAATTTCAAAGCAAATCTGTGCCACTTTCATAACTTTTTTCATTATTTTACGCAGAAAAATTAATGCCCAGGTAAACAATAAAATATTTATTCTATAGCTTTCTTACAAAATAAATTCCATTAATTATACGTTGATGACAAAGGAAAACAACATTGCTTCATCTATTAAATAATTCCTCAACGTATTATCCATTAGGATTAACATCATGCGGTATCCATCTTGTGAAGTTAGGAAGTCGCTACCGTTTACTAAAAGTAAAACCGCAACCGTAGCAAAATTTAAAATACGGAAAAATTTTCAAGATCACAACTGTAGTGTTTTTACCATTTATTAGTAGCGATAAATTGAAATAGTATATTAATTTAACATATTTTTTATTGTCTTAAGCAAAGAATTAGCAATAAATACGGGTGACAGAAATATAATTTACATTGAATTACCGGCATACAAAGATTGGCTTCTAACAGAATTTTAATTGTCTGAAAGATAAAGGGATTTACACTGTGTACACAAAGGTGTAACACCTGTGTTCAGTTGGTTTAAATGCCTGCGGGGCATGATTATAACAAACCCACGTGCCGTTATAGGTATTAGTGTTACACATCATTGAACAAACAAAGCCGTGAAATTCATGTTGACAGTCAAATTGTGAATGTACTCTCAATTAAATTTATAAATTAAACTTATTAGAGTGTTAATATGATTTCAATTCTTTACTGTTGCTTGATATATACATTCAATGGTCATTTGCATGTTTTAGCGAATCCCTGGAGAAGAAAAATAAAAATGGCGGACATCGAAGTAATTGTCGTCCACCGGCAAATAATGTCTGAATAAAGTTAACAGGAATGTGTCCAAGTTGTTCTGAAATCGGAATTACTATTCTTTGGTCTCGGATATTTCCCGAATATTATAGCTGTAAAATAATAATGTATTTACGTGTTATTTATGCCTTTGATTTAACAACGGTGTGAAACTACAGAGGCATTGAACAGGCAAGTTGGAAAAAAATAAGTAGTACACAATTCAAAGAAGTTTTAACTACTTTTTAAAAAAAAAAACTTTATTTAAATTCTGTACTCATTAAAATACCTGTTCAATTTCTTGATATGTTTATGTCACGGAATAACCCCGGTAATTCTAGGAGTTTACCTGTTCTGATACGTTGTATCTGCGTAAGCATCTTTAGAAAACGGGAAACAAAGCCTCGTCCTATATAGTAAGTTCGTCCTATCTTAGGATTTTTCAAAAATTAAGGCTGAAAATGAGCCTTTCGACCTATATACCCCATCGACCTATAACCCAAAAATTACGGTACTAGCTTGGCGTGGTGTCTTGTCCCTTTTTTTAGTCACCATGCCCTTTAATAAATAAACATGCTCAGCAGTGGCAAGATTCACTAAATGCTCTAATTATTCAGTGCATGATGAATAATCTCATTGTTTACATAACGCACACAAAAGTATGAATTCAGGACTGGAATAATCTTAATAAACTATTATTTGATTGTACTGATTATGCAGAATTTGCTTCTTACCAAATATAGATTTACAGGCTTAAATTGAAATTCTATTGTTACTTGCTGAATTTTTTTTCATTTTAGGAAATCTCCAACAAAGAATAGAAGCTGTTTCACAAGAGGAGAGAGAATTTGATGTGCAATACCAGCAGTGGAAGAAACAGTATGATGACTGGCGGGAACAGAATCAGAGTAAGTAGGAATTGTTGTCAGATGGGAAACTTTGGAGAAAATAACAGTATGATGACTGGCAGGAACTCTGGAAAAAATAACAATATGATGACTGGAGGAAACAGAATCAGAATAAGTAGGAATCAGTGACAGGAAACTTGGGGGGGGGGGGGGACAGTTTGATGATGGGGGGGGGGGGAGAGACAGAGTCAGAATAAGTAGGAACCCGTGACAGGATACTTTGGGGGAAAAACAGTATGATGATGGGGGGAGGGGGAGAGACAGAATCAGAATAAGTAGGAGTCAGTGAGAGGAAACTTGAGGGGAAAACAGTATGATGATAAAGGGGGGAGACAGAATCAGAATAAGTAAGAACCAGTGACAGGAAACTTTTGGGGAAAACAGTATGATGATGGGGGAGGGGAGATAGAATGAGAATAAGTAGGAACCAGTGACAGGAAAATTAAAAAAAATAACAGTTTGATGACTGACAGGAACAGAATCAGAGT